TTTACCTTGGGAAAGTTAGTTAATATCTCAAAGCTTTGGTTTCTTCAACTGTAAATAGGATTAATAGTGGCACCTTCCTCATAAGGTTGTTGTGAGGATTAAATGAGATAAGTTGTTTAACAATTACACATAACATTACCTAAATGTTAACTTTAATGATAATGATGATCATGATGATGTATTTGTGTAGCTACTATTCATAACTTCACATATTCATTCTAACATGGTGTCTCTTAACAGCTAGAGGCTTCAGGGAGTCTCTGAATCTCCTGGAGTAAATGTGATGATGTGAGCTTGAGAAAAATGAGGAGTGGGGAGTCTGGGAAGCATTTGTCAATTTTCAGTTGCCCTATGAAAATCCCTGCACCATTCCAGGCTACAGAGAGCTTGGAGTAGAGCCTCAAATGGCCCCTTAGTGTCAGAGGGTGTAAGCAAACAGTTTTTGATGTTGTTTTATTATGGTAAAATAGATATACCATCTTAACCATCATTAGGTGTACAATTCAGTGGCATTAAATACATTCACATTGTTTTTCAATCATCACCACCATCCATCTCCAGAACTTATTGCATGTTCCCAAACTGAAACTCTGTACCCATTAAACAAATAATTCCTTGTTGTTCCCTCCCCTACCCCTAGAAACCACCATTTACTTTTCCTAGGAATCTGACTACTCTAGCTGTCTCATATAAGTGGAACCATACAATATTTGTCCTTTTGTGTCTATTTTATTTCACTTAGCATAATGTCCTCAGGGGTCATCTGTATTACAGCAGGTGTCAAAATTTCATTCCTTCTTAAGGCTGAGTAATAGTATATGTGTACCACATTTTGTTTATTCACTGATGGACAGTTGATGAACACTTGGACTGTTTCCACTTTTTGGTGGTTGTGAATAATGCTGCTATGAACATTAGTGTATCAATATTTATTCGAGTCCTTGAATTCTTTGGGTATATACCCAGAAGTGGAATTATGTTCCCCACAGAAGCTTTTTTGCATTCCCAATGTGCAAGGGTTCCAATTTCTCTACATCCTTATCAACACTTATTTTTATTACTATTTTTTATAATAGCCCTCCTAATGGGTGTGAAGTGGTGTCTCATTGTGATTTCAATTTTCATTTCCCTAATGACTAGCATTGTTGAGCATCTTTTCATGTGCATACTAACCATCTGCATATCTTTTTTTGGAGAAATGTCTATTCAAATCCTTTGCCTATTTTTTAATTGGGTTGCTTTTTGTTGTTGAGTTGTAGGCAGTTTAAAATATATTCTGAATATTAATTCTTTGTCAGAGATATCATTTTAAAATATTTTCTCCCATTCCATGGGTTGCTCTTTCATTCTGTTGATAATGTCCTTTCATGCAAAAAGTTTTAATTTTGATGAAGTTCTACTTTTTTATTTATTTATTTATTCCCTGTGCTTTGGTGTCATATCCAAGAAATCATTGCCAAATCCAATGTCATAAAGTTTATCCCCCATATTTTTCCTAGCTCTTATGATTAGGTCTTTGGCTCATTTTGAGTTAATTTTTGTGTATGGTGTAAGGTAAGGATCCAACATTATTCTTTTTGCATGTGAACATCCACAAATGTATAATGACATGTATCCAGCATTACAGTATCCTATAGAGTAGTTTCACTGCTCTAAACATCTTCTGTGCTCCACCTATCATCCTTTCCTTTCCCCTAGCCCCTGATCCCTTAACTATCTTTATAGTTTTGTCTTTTCCAGAATGTCAGATAGTTGGAATCATACAGTATGTAGCCTTTTCAAATGGGCTTCTTTCACTTAAAAATACATACTTAATACCTCCCAACATGTCTTTTCATGACTTGAGAGCTCATTTCTTTTTAGTGCTGAATAATTTTGTCTGGATATATCACAGTTTATTTATCTATTCACCCACTGAAGGGCATCTTGGTGGCTTCCAAGTTTTGGCAATTATGAGTAAAGCTGCTATAAACATCTGTGTGTAGGTTTTTATGTGGAAATAAGTTTTCAACTCATTTGGATTTTATATCAATTGTTTATACCAACAATTGACATTTCAACAATATTAAATCATCCAATCCATGAACTTGGGATGTCTTTTTACTTATGTGTGTCTTTATTTATTTATTTTTCTCATAACATTTCGTAGTTTTCAGTGTACAAGTTTTTTGCCTCTTAGGTGATTTCCTATGTATTATGTTATTATTATTTTTATGCTCACCCAAGGAGTGAGGATATTTTTTCCATTGATTTTTAGAGAGAATGGAAGGGAGGGAGAGGGGGGAAGAAAGAGAGAGGAGAAAAACACTGACTTGAGAGACACATCGATTATTTGCCTCCTGCTTGTACCCCAGTTGGGGCCAGGAATTGAACCTGCAACCTAGAAAATTGCCCTTGACCAGAAATTGAGTCAACAACCCTTTGTTCCCAGGGCTGATGCTCTAACCATTGAGAAAACTGGCCAGGGCAGTATTGTATTCTTTTTGATGCTACTGTAAATGTAATTGTTTTCTTAATTTTGGGGGGGGGGTTGTTCATGGTTAATGTATAGAAAAACAATGATTTTTGTGTATTGATTTTGTATCTGCAACTTTGCTGAATTTGTTTATTTCTAACAGTTGTGTGTATGAGTGATCTTTAATGTTTCTTACATATAAAATAACATCATATGCAAACAGATATATTACTTATTTGTTCCCAATTTGGATAGCTTGTATTTTTTTCTCTTGCCTATTGCTTTGCTAGAACTTCTAGTAGCATGTTGGCCAGAGGTAGTGAAAATGGGCAGTATTGAAAAAGATCTTTTTTTAAAAATATATTTTATTGATTTTTCACAGAGTGGAAGGGAGAGAGATAGAGAGCTAGAAACATAGATGAGAGAGAAACATCGATCAGCTGCCTCCTGCACATCTCCCACTGGGGATGTGCCCGCAACCCAGGTACATGCCCTTGACCGGAATCGAACCTGGGACCCTTCAGTCCGTAGGCCGACGCTCCATCCACTGAGCCAAACCGGTTTCGGCTGAAAAAGATCTTTAAAAGAGATGGGATTATGAAGCCTTTGACCTATTTAAAATTGTGTTTCTCTATGTTCTCAGTATCTAGCACAGTGCCTGGCATGGTAATTATTGAATGAATGGATTTTTAAAAAACGCAATTTCTCAAAACAAAATGAGTTAGAGGCACTTCTGAATGAAGAGTAGTTTGGGGAGAAGGTAGCAAGGATTGAGGTGTGACCATATGGGTGTTAAGGAGTCAACAGTTGTCCCCCAACATAGAGCAGGTGTTGGTCCCACATTTTGAGCAGCAAAATCATTTTGCATCGTAGAAACTTTGCTTGGAGAGTCTGCTTTTAGAGATATCTCCCTGGTTAAGTTAATTCCCTTTCTCCATATTAGCACCCAGCAGCTGGAAGAAAATAACGTATGTTGTATCTCTTTGTATTTATGAGTACCGAATTAATAACTTCAGTCCATTGGATGCAAAGAAAATGAGTGAAATGCTGTACATTATAGATGGAACTTGTTAATGTTAATAGAGTGTGTAACATATGCTTCAGTTTGGCACAGTTTAGAAATAATGTGAATGATTTAAAGTGCGTGAGGCTGTTTGCCTTCATTCTAATTGGGAATAGTTAGAAAGCTTCGAGTCACCACCATTTCATTAGTAATGCTGTGTTCTTCCATTGGAATATGGCCCTCTCAACTTGGAGCAGATAAAAATTCTGATTAACTGTAGTCTTAGAATGGGAAAATCAAATGATTTTATTAAATGTGTTGGTATTTCTCCTCATCTGGACTTTAAACAAGCAGGTTCTAAATATGGACTAACATGTCTTCACTTTTTCCTTTAACAAGGATCATCTGACTTACAGATTTAAAAATATATTCTGTAAATGCAGAATTTGGTAACTTTGATAACAATTCTGTAAATTCAGAATTAGATCAAATTTGATAACCTAGGTAGTGGTGGAAAGAGCAGGCCCTTTGTCTCAGTGAGGGAAACCCTATAGTTTGTGCAAAAAGCAGGTGTGTTTTAAGGATACAAGACTATCTTATAGGACCCAAGGACAGGAAGGACAGCCAGGCTCAGGAGGTTCTGGGTCCAGGACCTGGGAGCCCTAGGAACTGGGGTCCCTCAATATGTGTCTCCAGGGCCACAGCGTCTCACCTCTACTTTTATCTCTGTACCTGCTCCTTTTCTCTCTCTCTCAGCAGATTGGCTGCCTTGGCTTCTCTGTGCACACAGCCAAGCACAGCTGCCTGGCTCTGGCTTTTTATTACTTCCAGTTCAAGGGCCAGCCGAGGCTGCCCAGCATCTCTGATTTCCAAATTCCTGGGAGAATCTGGTTATCTCATCTTGAGTCAGATGACCACTCCTGGTTTGTTCATTTATTTATTTAAAAACTCTTACTGAATGCCAGGAACTGTTTTAGGCACTGGGGATGCATCCTGCCCTATGGCCCGTGTGTGTGTGTGTGTGTGTGTGTGTGTGTGTGTGTGTGTGTGAAAGAGAGAGAGAGAGAGAGAGGTTGTGAAAGCCCATTCTTTGGGGACTGGGTTAAGAGTTGTAGTTTTCAGAGAAAGAGAAGAATGGCTTGGGATCCAGATAGACATGGCTTTAGATCTTGATTCTTCCCCTTACCAGCTGTGTGTGACCTTGGGCATATTAGAATCCCATGCGCAGCCCCAATTTTCTCATTGGCAAAATGGGAATAATCCTTGGTAGGTAGTTATGAGGATTAAAATGAGAAGGTACCTGTGAAGTCATGAGTGTAGTGCCTGCCACATGGAGTCAGAACTCCACCCTCCTGGTTGTGACCCTGAGCAAGTTACTTAACCTGCCCGAGTCTGTCTCCTCACCTGTAAAATGGGAAAGAATAGCAGCGACAGCACATGCTTATTATGAGGACTGAATCATGGGATGTGTGCCAGGGAGCCTGGAGTTTGTACACAGTAGATATCAGTGTGGTCGCTGTTCCTCTTGCCCTTGTGATGATTAGTCACATTTTTTTCTCTTTCTTCTAGTTCCCTTTTGGCCGCCGCTCGCCCTGTGACATCTACTGGCATGGTGTTTCATTTCATGACAACAACATATTCTCCGGTCAAGTGAACAAGTTTCCAGGTATCCACTGTTGTTTTTGTTGCTGGCATTTACGAATGTTTCCAGGCTGGGTCTCAGGGTACACTTGTCCTCAATAACATGACAGTGCTTTGAGATCAAACTCGAGATCTCTTCATTGGAATTGCTGCCTGCACTCTGCCTGGGCACCATCACCTTGGGAGGGATGCTAATGCAGAGGAATCTGGACTTAACCCACCAGGGGGCTGAAGATTGGAGGCTCAAAAACATCAAAAGACAGGCTCTCCTGGTCGATTCCACTAGTGGAAGGACATGATTTTCACTTTTTCAGTTATAGATATAACATGGGGGTGTGGTGAGGGGATTATATTCTCAAAATGAAAAAAAAAATAGACCATTTTACTTAAATAATTTGCAGGAAACAGAAGTACTAAAATTCTAGAAATATGTCACAGAAATGGGGTTAGCAATTTTCATTTTCTTTGAGTATCACATTTGGAGGTACCACTTTAAAAATCAAATGCACCTGTTTTGGAATAATAGGTGGCAGAACCTCTACTTTTACCCAAAGCCATTATCCCAGTGAGACTTACCTGCGAGGGGACTTGTGCCAAGAAAGTGGCCTAGCCAACATTTTAAGATACCCCCTCAGTCCACTCTCCACCACCCTCTGTGCCTCTACTGCCCTCTTCTGCTATAATTGCTATTCATTATTTTTAATGGCTAAGTGAAGAGGGTAGTTACAGTGAGTGGAGGTGCTTGGGGAAAAGGAACATTGTTGAGCTGGGTCTGATCATAGCCAAAGCGTCTTCCACTGATTTTCAGAAATTTTAACAGATGGTTCCAAGCATGTTATAATATAATAATAAAAATCATTTTTAAAAAGATCATCACCTCCTTTAACAAAACCACAATGTGGATATTTCTGTATTTCCTCCCAAACCTTAACCATGTTTATATATCATTTTGACATAATTGCTCTCCTGGTCTGATTCCACTGGTAGAAGGACATGAGTCCTTTCACCAGAGTGTAGTTGCCTGAATATAAGGTGTTTTCTCTCAGTGTTATATTATTTATACCTATTTTATTTATTTATTTACTTATTTTTTATTAAAGAAATTCTCTGCTTTAAATATATTTTTACTTGATTTCAGAGAGGAAGGGAGAGGGGGAGAGAGGAGAGAGGGAGAGAGAGGGAGAGAGAGAGAAAGAGAGAGAGAGAGAGAGAAAGAGAAAGAGAGAGAGAGAGAAACATAAATGATTAGAGAGAATCGTTGCTCGGCTGCCTCCTGCACATCCCCTCCTGGGATTGAGCCCACAACCCAGGCATGTGTCCTGATGGGAATCGAACCGAGACATCCTGGTTCATAGGTCGACGGTTAACCACTGAGCCACACCGTCTGGGCTATGCTCATTTTGAAAAGGAGAATCAATTTGTTTTTTCCCTTTGGCAGTACATGCCACATCTGTAGGACAACACGTCTCAGAAAACCTAGTATCCATACATTATATACTGGCTGGTTGTACCTTGTCCACTAGGGGCTTTTCAACTGAGCATACAAACTGCCCCATGCCACATGTGGCTCAGATTCACGTAGAAGGATATAGGTCAGGACACACAGCTTGCCAGTGGGTCAGTACCCAGCATGTCTCTCCAGCAGAGTCTTTGCAAGGGTTCCAGGGGCTAGTGTCTGGTCCCTCGAGTGAAAGCTCAGGTGCAAGGAGACAAGACCTACACTGGTGGATGGGAATCTGTCTTGGCTTAGAAGACTCATTGGACCCAAGATCTCATGTAGCTACTCCACAACATAGCTTCCAGGGTTCCTGCCAGCATCATGCTAAGTGACAAGCATCACCACTCTCAGGAAAGCCTGGAGTCCTGACTTCCTACCTGCTATCTATGCAATTTGCCAATCAGGGCCATTTTAACCATATCCTTTATTGTCTAGTAACACAGCTAACTCTCCACTTTTATTGGTTTCCAGGGGAACAGAGTTAGAAAATTAACCTGAGGTCAAATTTGTCCTTAGAGAAGGAGAGAGGATTCTGTTACAGAACAAGAATGATGCTTGCATTCAGGGTTCTTGCACACGGTCTAATGGAATAGGTATTGCTTTCTGTCTTACTGCGCAGAAAAGGTGACTTTTGTTGTTGTTGTTAATCCTCACCCGAGGATATGTTTCCATTGATCTTTTAGAGAGAGTGGAAGGGGGGGGGAGAGAGAGAGAAACATGGATATGAGAGAGACATATCAACTGATTGCCTCCCCCACGAGCCCTGACCAAGACCGGGACCAAGGTACATGACCTTGACCAGAATCAAACCCAGGACCTTCAGTCTGCAGGCCAACTCTCTATCCACTGAGCCAAACTGGCTAGGGCAAAAAAGGTGACTTTTTGGTGCTACTAAAGGACCTATTGGGATATCAGGAGAGTATAATCTGAAAGAGAACTTTGAATGAGGACAGAGTTCCTAAGACCTGAATCATAAGTGAGGCTTCATTTACATTTCTGACCTGTCACGCCTTATCTAGAGAGAAGGAAAAAGGTAGGAGCTGTGACCCTCCATTCAGAACACAAATTAGAAATACAGAGAAAAATACCGCCAAAGGCCTGGTTTCATTAAAGGTGATAAAAGGATATTATCTCAAAGAAGCAAGTTTGTCCCATCCTATATTCCACCTGCCAGTGATTAACACATATAGTTTTCCACTTTACTAACAGCAATTAATTAGCTCTAATGACAAAGTAGGATCTTGAACCTCTCGGCAGAGTGACAGTATGGCCACACCCTCCGCTCTGAGGAAGATGCAGTCCTCAGCAGTGGGTGATCACCGAGCAGTCTGTCCTTTGGCTCCAGTTTGTGTCCAAGCTTATCTTCTGTCTCCGATATATCCCATTATTTCACAAATACACTTTGTATGCATTGTATGTTACTTATAGTAAGCCCTAGTGGACGTGCCTGGCAGGTATAAATACTTCCCACACTGAACAAGCAAAACTTTTGGACACGCATATGAGAGTAATTTATTTTGTTTGTGTCAGCACATTAGATTTTAGCCACTTTTCTATGGGCAATTTCCCTTAAGGTTTGTTATTATATCTTAACTGATGAATTAAGACTTTCTATAAAAATAATCTGCTTTAAGAAAGCCTAAAACTCTCAATTCTTAGCTTACAAACAAATCTTTTGATGAGTTTCAGGGTCTGAGATGTTGACAGCACATGGCGGTGGTGCCTGAGAGCCCACTCTGAGGAGGGAACTAGGAAAGGGGCCCCACTGAGGAATCCATGGGGGCAGCTGTCTGGCAAGCATTGGGCTGGGCTGGGGACTCAAGGACAAGGAGAGAGGCATGTGGAGAAGGAAGTGTGATACCAAATATGTGCTGTGTTAGAGGAAACTTGGGATGCTGTGGGGGTTTGGAGTGAGGACACTCGCCCTCACCCAGATTTGCTTGGGATAGGTGGAGTGAGAGATCCCGGAGAGGAGGATTGACATGTGAGCTGAGCCTCCAGGGATGGATGGGCCTGAACTTCACGTAAAGCAAGGGAGCAGAGCTGGTGCAAAGACAGACTGCTTAGAACTCACTGCTCACTCAGCCAGGGGATGTGGCCCATGACAGTTAGAAAGGGTCACGTGTAATAGGGGCAGCAGAGTGATGCTAGGCAGGGACAAAAGGGCATGGGAAGCCGCTGAGGAATTTTAAGCCACAGAGTGGCATTTTGGATTTCAGAAAGCTCATCCCAAGAAGTGCATTGGAGGTGGGTGGAAGCTGAGAGAGGAAATGGAGAGAGAGCTAAGAGGCTGCTGCGGCATCCAAAGTGAACTTACCAGTGGGGATGGGAATGGAGGGAAGTGGATGGAACTGAATGGACTGTTGACACTGTTTCTGTTATAACTGATATTTGGATTGAATAATGCTTCCAGAGCAGCTCAGATTTTATTTTGTTCTTATTTCTTGTTTTTGTTTTTTAAATTGGGCAAAGTTGTTACACTCTTGGGTTACAGGACGAGATCCACCAGGTCTTGGGACTTTG